AAATTATGTGCTTCGTATAATTAAGTCCGTAACACAAGGCGGTGCCAATGGTAGTATTCTTCAGTATGCTTAACGTGGCTGGTATAAATTCTTAATATATTAAGGAAGCGTTGAAAAAAGGAAATTTATGAAAAGAAAATTTTTGAATATCTATTCATTTGCACTTATTGACGTACATTTGAGAGAGCGTGCGATAAACAAAAATATAGTTTGGGAAATATAACTGCGAAATAAATGAAATTTTAGGTGTTCAAGAATCGGAAAAATTCAAGAAAGCGACAACCATAGAGGAAACTGTTCTAAGTGTAAGGGTAAACAGCAAAAAACAAGATATTATTGCGCAAAATAGAAATATACTTGTGTTTAAACATTCCTTTGATCTTTGTAACGATTGCTGCTAAAAAATAAGTAATATTTAGTCAAGTGAGATGCCCCTCTAAACAAAATGTTTTTGATATTTTTATTTTTTCTTACATTAAATGAACTTCATTATTTTTTCAGCAGTAAAATATGGCGTTTAACTTACAACATTTGAAAAAAAAATTAAAATTGTAAGACTACGTCATGGGATGTATTCGTTGCATTCTGATATATTTGATGGAAGCCTAAATGTGATCTGTTCCTAATATCTCAATAAAAAACAACAATTGTTCAAAAAATTAAAGCTATTTTTTATTTAATATAAAATTAAAAAATTTAAAATGCCAGGAGGTCTGAGAGACCTTCTGCGATTGGGTTAAATAATTTTGTTTTGTTCGGTGTGAATCCATTACGTTTTTTTAATTGACTAAGACTATTTTAAATCATGACCTATTAAGACGCAGATAGTGTTTGTATTCAGTATAACCTCACCCTCAAAATTTTTATATAGTTTTACTAGCCACAGTTTAGGGGCTTGGGTAGGATTCAAACGTGGTCAACTGAAATACATTATATTTAAGAGGAAAAACCAAGAAATTTCCTGTTCGTTAAAAGTATTATAATTATGACGTCATTGTTACCAAAGAATGATATATAACTAATTGAAATAGAAAATAAGTAACTTTTAATCCACTCTTTTAAATTTTTTGGAAGGTTAAATCAAACCATCGAATAGCGTGAATTTGATAATATGTAAAGATTATTAACTGTAATGCTACTACTAATATAATCATTTTGGCATTGATTTATTTATTTTTTTTAAGTATCTACTTTTTATCTAGGTCCAAAAATTTAAGAACTAAATAGCTTACAATAGCTAATAAAATAATGTGGTATAATTAAAATGTAACGACTCTGAAGAAAGTTAATTCTGTAAAGATGAAAGGGAACTGCGCGACGAGAAGTAAGTATAATAATTAGTAAGATTATATGTTTATTTGAAATATTTGGATAAGTAAAGAATAAACCAAAAAAAAAAAGAAACAGAACCAGAATAAGGTCAAGGGTCAAGAACAAGGAGAGGAACAGAACAGGGGACGATACCTGACCATAAAGAGAATAAACGAAACTTAAGCTTTCCTGTAGCTCACCAAGTCCATATGTGGGTAATGTAATAAATAATTAAGCGGACTAATTAATGAGGGGAAAGGACTTAGAAATAGAAGGGTCTAGTACCGAGTGTTAAATAAATGGGCATAACATTATAGGCCAAATTGATGTAATAAAGAACTAATTAAAAATTGGAAAACTGTAACTATTTATCTGATAGCTTATAATTTTCCCCAAAAAACCTGTTAACTTAACGGGCTAGTAAGAGAATTAGAATAACTTTACATTGCATAGGTCATCTTATTACTTGTATGCGATAAACAACTCTAAAAATACAGACAGCCCTCCAGTTTATTTAGATTCTGATATCTTACCTTATTCGAAGTTAATTTATAAGTATATATAACAATATACAAAAGAAGAAGGTATCTTTAAAGGATATTTAATAATTCAAAACCCTTTCGTTAGTCAAAAAATCTGGTTTTGTTCTAAATATCTATTCCAACGCGTTCACTCGTCCGCTAAACAAACGCACTTTTCTAATTCGCTTATGTCATTTTTATTATAATTATTCGCTAACAAGAATTTTGTTTACAAAATTTTTCTAACTGGTATAACTTGAATCATATTCGTTACTAGGGGCTTTTTAATTAAACTCTATGGCGTTTTAGAAGTACTTCTTTGTATATTAACTAATAGCTTCCCGCTTTCCCGTACTTTTACAAACCGGTTCCATTATAGCTGGACCAAGTCAATTATCTTTAATATGCTTAATATTGTCCCAGAAATATATTACATTACCTTTCTTACTTTCTTCCTCCTTTTCTTCATTATGTTTTATAGAATCCTTATTTTATTTAATAATGTTATCTCATCAATCAATTTACACTAATGAATATTAAGCTCAATAGGTTATTTGACTTAATTGGCTTGCTTTCTTTAACAAACTTTTTTAAAATCTGTTGTAACCATAAATAAATTTATCCAGAATTGTCTTATTTTATTCCTTGCTTATAATATTTATTTGCAAGAGCTTGTAGGTAAAATCGATAATTGAATTTACTAGAGGTAGCCCTGTAGTCAACTACAATTTGCCATCTCTAGTGCTGTAAGAGATCTTATCTATAACAAGTACAGTTTTATAGCTTCTCAAAGATAAAATGAAGCTACTTAAGACCTAGTCCAATTACAAAAAATATCTCCGTCCTGGAATGCTTACTCTACCCAAAAATGCTAATATAGGTTATTTCAATTTATTAGCGTTGAGTTAATTACCAAATTATACATTATAGAGCATTATATATACGAGTTGTTAATCGGCATTAGAAGGAGTCTCGTAAAGAAGTATAACGAAAAGTCCCAAAAAGTAATAACTTATATAATTAGTGCACAGTATATTCCAGACTGTAAGATATTATAATCCAGAATTAGTAAAGATTTGAAACACGATAATTATTTATTTAAACAATTTAAGACTATTGGGTAACACGCTCCGTGCGTGCAATTCCTATTGCACACGAGCGTACGCTCTCGAGGGAACAAAATATATTCCTTGGTTTACGTATAAGGAATTGAGTACTGCACGTGCTCTATATAAATGTAGCCCACGCATATGCTGCAAAATTTTTTTAACCTCTTGTTCTTATTTCTGTAAGGTTGACTTGACGCTGCTAGAGAGTCAATATTGTCAAATAAAATTTTACAGTGCTTTCAGTTCTTCGACCACGTAATTATATTACGTTAAAGTATTTAGTGTTTGCAGTATGAGGTCGAGGGCTGCGCTTGTATAATTGCAGCCCATGCATACACTGCTTACTAGCTTTTTAACAACTGTTGATTTTACAGGCCGGAATTCTTAAAAAATAACTATAAAACGATACATTATATAATATAGTAATTAGATATATTGTAGATATAACACAATATATTAATGATGTCGGAGAGCTTAAAGCACTAAAAATTAATTTAATATTACTGGGCTCTCTAAGGGCACCAATAGCCGAGCATGCATGGGTCATATTGTGTATATGCACATGCAGCCCCTCGATTTCTCTTACTATTAACACAACCGAATCATTTCTCCCATTTCAACGCTGTCCTATCCCTCACCAGTTTGGCCATTATAATATTATAATAAATTGGGGGTTTAGATTTCGTATACGCCCTCAAGTGCCCCTGATTTAATATTCACCTTATTTATTATGATGAGTACGCAATTTTTTACTTTCTCCCCTTCTTTGCATATATATACGTTAAGCGTCTTCCTCTCCGAGGAAACAGATATTTCTATAAAGTGCATCTTTACGTATTTAAGCTGTTGTTCTCAACTTTTGTTCTGCGATCTCAGCCCGCTTCTTTTTAGTGGTCATCTTCTTAACTCTATTTCTATTATAATTTAGTTCCACATTCTTCGCTAACTAACATAACGATCGTTTCTTCTACCTTTACCTTTATCTTTACCTTTAAATCTTTCCAGTATTTTTTGTTCTTCCAATCACATTTTTGCGCATCATTTTAAAACATAATCGGGTACTTTATAGTGCTTACCAAGGGCAGCAGTTACCATAACAATTTTAAAAGGCTGCCTTTTAAAATATTACTTCCGTTGGAACACCAAATGCGCGTAGGTAAAACAATTCTTAGATCGTTTAGGAAAGGTGTGAACACGACTATAGTGCAGTACTACTAATTAACTATGTTAATATCGTATATACTATTGTCACCCCTATTATTCGCTGCTACTTCCTTTTTTAAATGGTTACTATTCAGCCGTAAGTCAAAGCGCATTCATTCTCGTTAATGACGTCGACGATTAGCTTAGCACTTAGCTAAAATGTGCTATTTTTTTTTATTTTCATCATTCTATCCCCTCTTTGACAAAGTATTTTCCAAATATGGTTAGGCATTGCGTCCAGAGGGAAATACTTTGGCTTTTAGAAAGAATTTTTTTTTCCATGTGAATTTATCTCGGGTCATATAAGATATTAAATATCTCTCACACTTTAAATAAATCTAAATAATTAATTTTGAAAGGCCTATAATTTTTGTGCTTAGGTTTCATACATCTTAAAAGTTAATAGGGGTCTTTAAATGGTCTCTTCGAGATTCAAATTATTAATGCGCTTCGTGGGTAACCACAAGCCCCAGCCAGTGTTGTAAATAGCTTTTACAGTTTAGCCCCCACTGAAAAAAAAAAGTAAACTAATGGAGCGATATTCGTTATGTTCTAGTTAACTCCGCGGAATTATTGGTGGCATCATTACAGTGGCCGTGTTCCCCGTGTTTAAAATGGGGCGAGCGCTCCGCAAAATTTGCAAAACTGTATAGTAACAAGACACATGCGCGTTTTGAGGACCTATGCCCTTGTAGTGATTATTATACCCAATGATGGCAATTATAAATACCAGAGCATTTTGGCGCTTTTGAGATTAGCGTATAAATGCTTGTATCTCACGCTTATTGTCTGGGTGAGGGTGTATACAATACGATGAGCGTTGCTGCTTCTTTCCTACCTCCATTTCAGTGGCGTAGGCCCTATAGTTAGTACGTATCATACTGCGCGGACCGAGGGCAAAAATCAACAAAGCAGAAAGGATGGTTAATTGCCACCAGGCAATTAGCAATGCTGTCCACAGCAAAGTTATTATATAAATATGCGATAATAAACACTAGTTTTTAAGTAATGAGCGTGCAGGTGCCTAAAGAAGATAATTTCAAAAGAATATTAATAAACAAAAAATACAAAAAAGTATTTGTAAAATATTTGAAATCTCAACACAGTGAGGAAAATTACTTGTTTTATAAAGTTAAGTTATTAATCTCTTATTTAATGTAACATATACCTTGTAATAATATTATTATAGATTTCATACTTGTTTTTATTCCAGCTTTAAACTAATAAACTGTTTTAGTAAATAATATAAGTTTTTAACTTTATGAGCTGATTTTATAATAATAAAACTCATAAGTCAAAACAAATATTGTTATACAGTTATATTGCAAACTTTCTATTATATATTGGAGTTCGACTTTCTTATTGAATACTCAACTAATAGGCAGTCGAGAAATATCGCAAGTATAACACCAGCTCAACTAAAAAAAAGTTAGCTCTAGGTAACGATTTATTTTCACAGCTATAATATATAATGATATTTTAGATGTTATAGCCTTACGTATAATAGAACGCTTTATAATCCCAAATAGTTTTCAAGAGGTCAATGTTTCTGGTTTTTTGGTTTTTTTTATATACACCCTTGAGCTTATAAAATCCTGTCTGGCAACTAATATTTGTAGAAAAGAATGGTTATAATAGATCTCTATTACTTTATAAACGTGTCTGGATTATGTGGAAAAAGTACTAAAGTCAAAAGTTTCTTTTGTAAGGTTAATTATTCTCTCATGACTATTTAATATAACAACGAATGTTATTGAGACTGTTAACGATATAGCACGATTGCATGAAAATGTTTTTTATTAATATAAGTGAAGTATCCTTAAAGAAATCGCTACGGGTTCCCTCTTCCAATTTAGAAAATATTTTTGATAAGCTACAGCAAGAGGTTTACTTTTTTATATCACGCAACTATCATTACACTAATGTTTACAAGGTGTATGAAGCTATGTATCAAGATTGCTATGCCCGGTTTTTGAAAGATAATATATATATTAGAAAAATGTTTGCATGAGTTAAAATAAGAAACAATTACTTGGTGAATGTTGAAGCTTAAGGCAAACTAAATAAAAACGCTCTCAACATTTCAGACAAACGAACTTTTATATTATAAGAAAAATTGATAATCCTTATTATATAAAGTTGTTAAAAAATTTTACACAATTTTTTTTTTAAAAGAATAGAAGATAGTAGCAGGCAAGTTTAGTGACTATATGAATAATTGTAGTATAGGCCTTGACATACGAAATATAAACGGTATGACTTAGTGGAAAAGAAATTAGTAATTACCTCCAATATATATTTTGTGGATCACTCGGTAGCCAGTCAAAAGGGTCTTCAACGCGAGTAGATTGGTATAATGCGTTTAAATGAAAGGCCATAAATGACTTCATGAAGCAAGGCGCGAATTTTAGATATAACTGATTTTTTTTAGCCGCTCTTACTAACATGTCCCTGGGGACGGAACAGGAATCGTTTCGAACATGCAGAGCGTACAAAGTTGTACGGAAGTCTCGAGGACAGACGCGGACGACCTTGGAAGGAAAGCAATAACCATAGGTAAACATCACTCAATCAGGAGACCTTGCTCCAAACGCTTTCGTCCTCCACTAAGTGCTACTTTAGTTTATGGACGTTATAATTGTTGTAATGTAAAGCCTTTAATATGTAGGAGTAAACACTTAACTAAATAAGAAAATTTTAACAATATGTTAAACCTAAATTACAACTATCCAAAGGAAACTAATTAACTAAGGAAATCTGGAAATACCTAGAAATACTATCATAACTGGAAATTGTTGTTCCTAAAGTCTCCTGGATTTCATAGTAAAAAAGAATATATATTATTATTGCTGATTACAGAAAAAGGGTGTTTACGAGTAGCTTCGAGGACTGTAAGTCTAATTAAAGTGTTTACCTTAAGGCACCTATATTTTATCAAAATCTTACAACTGCAAATTATACTAGCCTTAAGTCTTAAAACTAATGTATTAATAATATAAATTGTCCAATATAGTATAAAAGTATATTTCAGAAAATAAAAAATTATTATATAGAATTATTAAAGACTTAAAAGCACAGTAATAAATTAATGAGTTCGACGACTCCCTGAGATCCCACCACCAAAAAAACGGCGTGCGTTGATATATATATAACCTGGCACGCTATTCAACTTTCTGAAGATAGTTTATTTCTCCCTCGCAAATAGAGGAAAAGAGTTTAAGAAGACAACAACAATTTATCAGTAGCCACCATCATCAACGAGTTATTGCCAGCCTCTTGAATTGATTAGTTGTTTAAACTGTGACCTTGCAAGGCTTTATAAAACGGCTAAATAAAGAGATCTGCTTTTGTAATCCTGCTAATACTTTTATTGATATTCTACTAAACAGGAGCAAGAATACATAAATAGAAGCAGTCAATTTTCACTGTTTTTCCAAAGAAGTTTTTCTTTAGGTTTCTATTCCAATTTCTACTATTACTACCGCTTTGTATGCCTTCAGTACTATTGAAATTAAGCCCAGGAAGAAAGTTAGAAAGTTTATAAAGTCGAGGTTGCTACTGTTATATCTGAACATGCAAGATTACTCTACCTAGTTGCTCGGAAGTCGTGGAGATTGTCGGTTTAAGATGCTGAAGTGTTATAAGGAAGCCCGTCAGCGCTAGCTACCAAAGTTTTTAAAACCCAACACCTCTTTGAACTTTCTTGTCAATGTTAAAAACAAATAAGGATCAAGTATTATTACTCATCCAAAATAATTTACTAGAGACATTTTTTAAAAAAACCAAATGCGCTAAAATTCAAAAAATACCGACTATTGAAAATAAAGATACTTGGCTTTTTAGCTAAGATAGTTGCAGATCTTTAAATAATTCCCAAGCGACCCTGTGAATTTTGATAATAACTATCAACTACTAATTAGTAGAATGATTCCACTTTTATTTGTTAATTTACAGATGTCATCTATTCTAATACCTGTATAGGCAAAGCTTCTCGACTCTAAGTTATAACATCAATTGTTCAACTTCATATGAAGCAAGCTCTTTGAGAATTAATATAGTTTAAATAAAGTGATGACTCTTTATAGTTTACTAATTTGGAAACTGGGTTGGTAACCATTGTACAAAAGGCAAACGTAAAATGCAGACTTAAGTAATTAATTTCTGTAGCTGTTAGCTCCTCATTAACTGGGATTGAGAAATAAAAATGGTAACATTTAATCTGCATTAAACTTTATTCTGGTTAAATCATCCTTGATAATTAGCGTTTCTAGAGTGTTTTTCGCAAATTCTAAAAACCAAATCTAAAAAACGGAATCTTCGCTTTCAGGTGGTGTTAGGAAATGAATCATCTTGATGCACGGTCCAAAAAACAATAATTTTTTACCAATTTTAAGAGCATTAGTTTCTAAAAGTGCAAACCAACGGAAATAACGAAGCGTCAAACATAGTATTTTTTTTTTATTTTTAGCTATATTATAATTTTTACCATTTACCGGAATTTCACCGTAGAGAGAGTAAATAAATATTATCATTTTAATCATTCTCAGTTTTTGTCTTAGCTACTATGATATGCTTTCCTCTTAAATTAGGCTATATAATCTAACTTTGGTATGCTAGTGTTAAATAGTGCTCCGATCCCTCAAGTAAAGATTGGGTATTAGTACACCTCTACGATCTTTGATTCTAATCGTTGCTAACCTCTCAACTGATGGAAAAAGTTTATTAGCGCAGCTAAGCTCGCGCAAGTTTAAAAAACTTCTCGACCGGGCATGTTATTATTAAATTAACTACCATTCAGAGCGTCTCGGTATTCAAGCCTTACCAACAGTATTATTGATATAAAGATTTATAGGATCTAACTAATCTTAAATTTTGCTTTGTACAGCACATATACTAAAACGGTAACAGAGCAAATAAGCTGTTAAACTGAATATCCTCTACTCTTAAATAACTTAGCTTAAAGCATCATATTTATAAATAAATATTACTAAGTTAAAACTTACTTGATAAATTTTTTCAGCACTATGGTTGAAAATTTATTAAGCATTTATAGATAATTATTAAATTGCATCTTGATTCAATAAAGGTCTTCAGGAAATGACCTAAGGTATTTCCGAAAACATGGTAAAATAAATAAAAAGAAACGTTTAAGCAAGTTATGTAACAAAACCGACGTTAATAAAAGTGAGAAAAAGCAGGTGTTATAAACTTTTGCAACCAAATACGGCTATTATGAATGGTTAAGGGAGAAGTAATAGATCTCAAGCTTGAAAACCTTTCAAGTTATCAGTACTAAACAAGCTAATAAATTAGTCTTAAAATAGTTAAAATGAATAGCTTTCTTTACCTCGCATCTAAAAGCAAATTTTTTCTTCTTTAAAGGAAATCTTCCAAAAGAATGCATAACAGCTGCAAATCCTCGAAGATTTTTTCTTTTTTCAATTTTTTTGTTCATCTATCTGAGATATTATTACCTTTATAAATGTTTTAATGGATTAATGGGCGGACAACACCTCGTTATCTTGCAGTTCAAATTCAGCTCCTTTCGTAAAAGGCACTTCAACTGTTCCTTAAATTCTTAAAAAGCGTTACGATCTTAAAATCGTAAGGTTCTTTAAAGATAGTAAGTGCCCTCAATTGAACTTTTTTAAGGATAAGATTTTATAATATAGAAGAAACAAAAAAAGTAAAACTGGTAAAACTTGGTGTATATACAACTAAATTAAAGCTGTGCACAGTCGAGAAAAGATTATATAAACAAGAGCTTGATATAATAATAGAGTTTGGAAACTGGGCACAGTAGAAGAAAAAGCATATTAAAGAACTAAGTGAAAGGCGTCTTAATACAAATAAATAGGACAGGCTCTTACTTTATATGAGAAGACGCCTTAACTAAAATAAATTCTGACTAATGAAAATAAAGCTGGGGCGCATGCTAGATCATTGTAAAAAGTAAGTTGCTACATGAACCAAAAGAGCTTAATTAATTTTAATGTTCCACACGAAAGAAAGTTCACCTTACATTACCCAGCTTCATAAATGACAAAGTAAACTGCATAACCACCCCCCCTACTTTCGATATTTATATAGCAAAGTTTATAAAAGCTCTTTCTATGTTCTTTTGTGTAAGAACATTAGCGCGCCTTAGAACCAATTAGTGTAAACCATAACTCTACTGCATTGACAGTTGTACGTCCAAGCATTGAGAACCAAGTTTCATATAAAAAACACTGGAAACACACCCAAAAATGCATTTGAAACAAAGCTCCAAAGTCAGCTAACATGCTAATGTGAAGCCAGCACAATTTCGAGTCTTTTTTAATACTACTGTCTCGATAAATACTCGGAAACCTTACAGTAGACCAAGATTTGTAGCAAGCCAAGTCAGAAAATTCCTCGCGATACTTTTTTGTTAATAGCATTAGTGCCCACGGCGAGGACTAGGACGGGGATAGAGCGCATCCGTTCCCGTTGATAGGACAACGAATCGTTAAGGAAATCCTGGCCGGATCCGCGCCTTAATTAACAAAGGGGGGTATACTTAGCAGGAACTGATTCTAAATCACGCCTGTAGTAAGCTAGTGCTTTGAATAAAAAGTGGGATGGGATTAAATTGCTGCTCTCTTTTTTTGAGTGGTGTGTTATGGTAAAAAGGGACAGCCTTCAATACTGTCTTTTATTTATATAAATTTTATCATATATATATTTATACATTTGTTCCTGCCTTTGGTATTCCATGTATGCAAAAGGTATAAATGTGGTCAGACCGTCCAGGTATAAAACGTGAAGCCAGTTTTGTTTGTTTCAAGCTAAATCCTAGTATTCCCTTTGAGTGCTAGCCCAATGGGCCATAATTAGCCTACAGTCGCAACTTACAGCGGAATTGTGAAATTAAGGCCCACTAAAAAAATGCATGTTAGTGACTAAAAACCAGTAGTTTATACTGCTAACAGTAAGCGTGATGATTCACTATTATAATAGCAATGCAATAATATATAAATTTTAAAAGCGGTTATAAATATAACAACTGATATTTCCTTTGTTATCGATTAATAAGTAATTCCACCCGATATCACCTTTATGGGCGATGTAGGGGTTACAGTTTTAAACTCTTGTCTTGGTGCAAAACAAAAACTTCAACACTATTAAAGGAAACAATAATTTATCAGCACACAAAAGGATATGTTAAAACGTATTTTTTTAATTTAGAGAAGGAAGACTTGTAGATATAAATTAAGCTAGGACAACAAAATTACTTGCCTCTTTTATTTTGGGTCAAATTTATAATTTGACTGCTTAACAAAATAAAAGCAAAAAATAATAAAATAAATAACTTTTCCTATTAAAAGTAAAGAATGAGTAGCTTGTGACCAAGTGCTATACATGGAAAAGCCTATTATACACACGTAGATATATAAACCGGGCACCCCGTTAGAAATTTTAATAGTATGAGCGCTAACCTCAGAGGATATTTGCTTCACCCCTTGTTTCGTAGTAGACGATACAGGCGCTACTACACCTTTAAAAGCTTTTACACGAAACTAACCAAAAAATAGTCAAGTGAGGTAAAGCGCTTGTATATTCCACTACTGATGAATTATAATTGTTTTGCTACGAGAAATAAACTATTCAAGTGAAAGATGTTCTCCCTGTTTAACTTATATCATAATGCTTAAGGGCTAAGAAACACCTCGCCTTTTTGTTTTTTTTGCACATTTATTTTTTTCCTAGTAAGAATTTATCCTTTATAATTACTTAATCCCTTATTTGGTATAGTAATAATTATCGGGTTTTTCTTCTTTACTGATATAACTTTAAAAGTTCTATAACAAATTCACTTTAGAAGCAATAATTTTTTATATAATTAAGCGGCCTCTTAATCCTTAATTTTATTTTTATAAGAGGTAGTAAAATAACACAACTGTTAAGTTGAGCAAGCAACAAAATCCTTAATTTAAGTTACACAATGTCAAGAACGACTTGTATATGGTTTTACTTAAAAAAAGAGTCCCTGTTGTAACCTTTTTTCTTGTTAATTAGTCCAGATCTCAATTAAAGTTCAAAGCTAAAGTTTCGTTAATTACGTGTAAGTAAACGGAACTTTTAAAAGTGACAACAATGATCAGTTGGTCTAAGCCTTATAGACAAAAGATGGGGCGAAAAATTTTACTAAAATGCAAGGTGCGTCCAATCTTATAGGTGACTTGGCTACCTGTTACCCATAGATTACAACAGTAATATTCAGAACCTTAAAAAATGTATAATTTTTTCTGTATAATATTTACTGTTACATATATTGCTACTCAGTACAACTTTAAGATTTAACAGTATTTTGAAAGACAATTTTTCTACACCAACTGTAGAATAAAACCTTCGCTTAGAGAGAATCGCCGCGTAACTTATTGCCTAGGATATAGCAATTTTTAACTACCTACCAATAGTTATAAGTATTACATCAAAAGTACTTTCCTTGGTGACTTGAAATCGTATAGATATAGAGAGAGAGTGTGTGTGTGCTTGCTAGTTCTACTAAGTTTAAAAGGGGGCCAAGGCCTAACAAGGTCACGTCCTAATAAGATAAAAAAAATACTAATTATTAAATTTAAAATTTCTAATAACAAGTAAACCAAAAATCTCTTAACTTTTATAGCTGACTTTGCGCTTTAGGGATTTTAGTATATTAAAATTAAATTCTTTTTTCGTGTTCAAAAAGTTATTTTTTTAATAAGCTAGTTTGCCCATACTATGAGTTCTTTGACGGTTTAATTTACGAATACAACTTTAATAAGTAGTTGTTGCTCTTTACTAATAACTTTTAAAAAAATTTAATAAGTTTTTTTAATTCTATACTGATTAAATTTTTAAGGTAAAATTAGTATGAATTAAGTATGATAACCAAAGCTTACTATAGAATTATGTCAAAAATTATTACTTTAAAGCTCTTAATATTCAGACATAAACGCAGCACTCATAATATGATTAAGAAAATGATAATAAGGCTATAAATATACAGTTGAAAGGCAAAAAATAAAAATGTTTAAGTGTAAATTTCTAAAGACAAAAAACTAGGTCAAATAAAAATTAAAAAAAATTAAATTACCTCTGGGTTTTGAATCTCAACTCTATTCAGAATCTCAGATTCTTCGTACTCATTGTTAAATAACGAGTATAAATTTCAGAGGAAAAAATAAACTGCCTAACACAACAGAACGTGGGTGGATATACATATAAAATTGCACACGCCGAAAATAAATTGCAAATGCTCGAAAACTGCCGGGGGCTTGAGTGCGTTTCTTAAAAGCCCCTTAAATACTGCTCATCTACTTCAGCTTTGTTCCAGATATTACAAGAATTTTCCAGAAAAGTAAGCTGGAGCTCATTATTTACATCTTTCAAACATTATGAGATTAAAAGAAACTTTAAAAAAAGTAATTTTTAATAATTTAATGTTATGATAATAGTAATTATAGTAATGAATTTCGAGTGTTATCTGTTTTATTAAAAACTCTTTTCATCTTTACCTCGTGGTAAGCACATGAAAGCCAAATATATATATAAGCTACGCGCTGGAATGAACAGAGCTTTTGATTGTTCTTCCCGTCTTCGGTTCTTTGGGCGTGTAAGTTTGTGCAGCTGGCTTTATAATTGTAAATAGCATTGCTTGTTGCCATATCTCAGTGTTTTTATAATAAAAATCACCTTTTTTGTTTTTTAGACTATATAGTCATTATTAATTCTCTATATAATAACCAAACCCGTAAAAGTTTGAGTTATGAGTTTTTTAGTTTAGCAAATTTTACCTTTCAAATTGTTTATACGAAGTTCAATCATTTTCTTTCTACAATACATAGCTTTCATTTAATTAGAACTAATAGTAAATAAATTAATAGTTTTGAACTTAAAGATAAGCTTTGTTAACAATATGGCTGCTGCCGGTATCGACTTTGGTAACTTCCAATCCGGTAAGTAAATTGAGTTTACTTGATTATGATTTTAATTTTAGAAATCCGAATTGCTTTTTATTTTTATGTTTATTGGCAGTTGCTTTTGTTGCCTTTTCTCATTATTACTTATGTTCTTTTTAGCTTACATTTATTGTTTTGTATAAATTTTTAAGAGTATTTTTATAGTAAACTTAATTTAATTTAAGATTAAGTTGTATTCTGTTTAATTATTATACAATCTTTAACAAATTTTGTTCATTATCAAAGTTTTGGCTGCCGCTCGCAGTTGCGGAGTTGAAGCTTTACTGAATGAATTTAGTTCCCGACTGACTCCGTTAGAATTTCAATTTGTATTTTTCGTTTACAATTTACCAAAGATTTTCTTTAATTTTTTAGATGTTTGGTACATCTATCCCACACGCGTTGTTTTGGAGAAAATGCGAGAACACCTTCTGTTACTCGCTCTGAGAGTACCGTAAGTATTTTATACATAAATTATTCAAATTTTTAATCTAGATTTTGCTATTTATTTTTATATCATTAATTATTTTTTTATTTTTATTACTTATTGATTTAATATATTATATAAATTATTAATATCCCTTGGCAGTATATATTTATAAAATTTAAAATTTTTTTTGACTTAAAGTTGTTTTAACATTATTATATTATTCATGAGTAATATTTTTTCTATTATCGAATTATATTATATTAATATATTTTTTTTAGTATTGCTTGATTCTGCTTTTATCATATTTAATTTTTCTTTTTTACAAGTTAACTTTTTTAAATTTTTATTAAGAAATGCACCACGTCGCGTTGTTATTTTTAATACTGTTATAAAAAATCAGGTTTCTCAGTTTAAACGAATAATAGGATTGAAGTACAATAACGACTTTGCTAAGCACGAATTAAGCAAAGTTTTCTACAAGCACAGCGAACTCTCCAATGGGGGCATCGGCATACACGTGACTATCTATTTATTATAATTTCAAGAAAATAATACTTTTATTTATTACTCCAAGTTTTATCAAAGGCATTAGTTATATTTATATTAAAGTTCTTTTTGTTTAACTATACTTAGTACATAATATATTTTATTATATTTTTGTTTTTTTTTATATAAATAATATTTTACTAAAGTAAATATTATTGATAATCGGTTTTGCTTGTTATCATTTTTCTATTATAAACTGATTTTTATTGATATTTTATTTTTATAAAGTTTTTATAGAAAGTGTTATTATATTTATAAGCTTTATTATAAATTTTAAATATTAAGTTAAAAAAAAGAAAGAGTTTTAAAAATATTAGAGAATTTATATTTACTAAATTTGCTTTGTATATTTATTTTTAGTAGATTTTAGAATTTTTGTTTCTAAATTTTATTAATAAATTTGTTATTTTTTTATTAAAAAGTAAAATAATAAATTTAAATTTTATATCTAATAAATAACTATTAATAAGTTTGAGATTTAATATTTTATATAAAAAGTTACTTTTACTAATGAATATCACAACAATTAATATATTCACTTCCCTTTTGATAAGTAAAAAGAATATTTTTATATATTATTATTCAGAAGTTATTAAATAACTTTAAGAAAAATAATTTTATAAAATATTATAATTTAAATAATTTTGTATAAAAAAGTTTTTTATATATTTATAAAATTTTTAAGGCAGTAATAATATAATTTTATATATTAATTATTTTTTACTTTTTTTTTAACCTAAAATTTTTAATTAAAATTCAGTACATACATTATTATTCTAGTAAAAAACTTTCTATTGGATATTTATAGTACATTGTAAATATTTTTTTATTAATTATGTGAAAGTAATTTCAGACAAATGTTTTCTTTCATTATAATAAATGGAAAATTTATAGTAGCCCCAGCATTTTACTAGTTTCAATATTACAATGAAGCAACTATAAAAAATATTGATCGTTGTTATTCAGAATAATTATATAATATTGTTACTCCTTTTTTTTCCCAACATTTATTCTCATTGTTTTTTATGGACGAATTAGCCAAATTATGGCATTTCGTAAATATTATTAAAACCAATTAAAATAGTTCTTTTAAAAATTTATGTATGTATTCCGGCATTTGAGCATTTTTTAATTAATGCGATGTGTTTATCAATTTTTTTTTATAATGAATTCTATGTAATTATTAATTGTTACTTTTTCATTATAATAGTTGAGTTATCAGGGAGAAGAAGTTATATTCACACCTGAGCAAGTGTGCGCCATGTTTTTTACTAAACTCAAAGAGACTATTGAATCGGAATTAAAGAAGCCAATTGGCTCTCTTGTTGTCTCTTGCCCGGTTTGGTATTCATTAAAATCCTTTATCCTGTTTTTTTTTATGAAAGCTTTTAATGTTTTGGTCTGTTGTATTTGCAGTTTACTACCGTATATTTTTTTGTGTTTATATTTTTTGCTCGTTTTTTTTGTTGTTCTGGTTATTATGTAGATAATATTTTTTTAAATGAAATTATATTAACCATTTTATTTTTTGTATTATTACTTGATAACTTTTTTATATTTTTTATAGGTTTTCTTTTCCTTTTTCTTTTTTTGCAATATATTATTATTTATGATGTTTTGTTATTTTATATTTTGTTTTCTTATACTTGTTTTATATCTTTATTATTCGCTTTCAGTTTTTTATTAAAATAACTTAAAGTTTATATTTTTTATTTTTTATTTTTTTTATTAGTTTTATGATATAATTAATAGTTATATTATTTATAATATATTTTTACTTAATAAACTTTTATAATTTTTTTACTTTGTAAATATTTTTTTCCGTTGGTTTTCATTATATTTATTATCGTTCATTGTTGTATAATAATCAATTTTTGTGTTCATTAATTTTTTATGTTAAAACAGGTTTAACCAATCACAGCGACTGGCATTGCAAAACGCATGGCGCATTGCAGGACTCTCAAATGTCCGCGTTTTTAATGAAACGGCTGCCAATGCGCTGGCGTATGGCATTTATCGCTCCGATCTCTCTGAGGACCAATCGCATCGCGTTGTCTTTATCGATTTTGGTCATGCGGGTCTTCAGATAGTTGGGGTGGATTTTTTTAAGAGAAAGTTTAACGTTATTGGCGCCATTTACGATCCCCATCTTGGTGGGAGGGACATTGATGACCTCTTATGCCAGCACTTCGCTAATGAGTTTCAGAAAAAAACGGGCCACGATATTCTGTCGAGCCCACGTGCTACTTTGAAGTTGAAAGCGGAGTGCGAGAAGCTGAAGAAAACGCTATCAATTAACTCACAAACGGTACCAATATCGGTGGACGAATTATATCGAGAGACCGATTTTAATAGTTCGCTTAACCGCGCCGATTTTGAGCGCATGTGCGAGCCTTTCTTTGATCGCGTGTCTAAATGTTTATTGAAGGTTTATCCTTTTCCATGGTTTTTTATGATGATATTTATAAGGAAATATGTAGTGATAGTAAACTTCATAGTAATAAAAAATATATATTCATTAAAAAATTGCATGTTATTGTAATTATGCACTTAGGATCCCTTCCGTTGGTCTTTTTGCATTTTTATAATGTATAATGAAAACATCTTTTAATTCTAAATAAAAAGAGAGATATATAAAAGTTTTTGAAAATAATTTTTTATTATAAATAATAAAACTGACAGGTTATAACTTTTATCTTAAAAAATTTAAATAATATAATTTTATAGAAGTTTAAAAAAATCAATCTAACCGTTTAAAATAAACAAGTAAAAAAAAGTAAAATTCTTTTTATAAAAGTTTTTGAAATATGTTATATAAAAATTTGTATTATAACCATGAATTTTTGAAAGTATATTATTATATTTTTAAACTAAAAAGTTTGTCATAGAAAAATTAAATGGTGTAAGTGAAAGTATCAAAAAATTTTTTACTGTAAATATTATTATAAACTTTCAAAGTTTAATTTTTCTAATTAAATCGTTTTTAAGAAGTGTTTCATAAATTGTATTGATAATAATAGTTAACTTATTATTATTACAATAAAAAAAGTATAAAAAAGTTAATTATTAAGAAAAAAAGGATTCCATTAATATCCATTATTTTAAGAAAAGTGATTTATTTACTCACTATTTTTATATTCATTTTTTTTGAGAATAATAGTCTTATTTTTTTCTTTACTTTCCGCTTCTATTGTACACCCATTTTATTGGTTCTTTTATTCGATGAAAAAAGCATCAATATAAAATTAATTTTTTATGTTTTAAGGCTTTATGGTTACAATTTATTTATATATCTTTTTAATTAAGACATTGAATTTCACTAAAATTGAAGAAATTCACGCGGTCGAGATTGTGGGCGGCTCCTCTCGAATTCCTGCCTTTAAAAATGCCGTTGCTAAAGTTCTTTCTTACATTATTACAGCAATTATTATTATATTAATATATGTTACCATTTTAACTGTTATTATATATAATTCATATATTCATACAGTATTTATAATATTACAATTTCTATTATTCTTTACGTTTAGGTATCACTTTTATTATTTTCTTTAATATTATTATGTTGGTGTTATTAAACTTTTTCCTGTACATTTACAATATATATTTTATTCTATTATTAATATAATAATATTGTATATTATTTTTTTTATTATTTAAATAAATATTATCTTTTCAATCCTTTATTTTTATTATTGCTGTTACTATATTTTCATTTTAACTTTTACCGTTATTAATACTTATTAATGTTTCTATAATAGTCATAAGTTTCTTTATATATATTTTCCTCTGTATTATAATTTTTCTTATTTTTATTTACATTTATTTAATATTATCTTATTATTTATGTTTATATAAATTTTTGTGTTTATAATACTTTTCTTTAAACTTTTATTATTAAAAAATTTGTAACTTTGAAATAAAGAAATTAATAAAATTTTAAAAAGTAACGTTACCAGAAAATAGACACTTATATAAATAATTAAATGATGATAATAAATAAAAAGAATAAAAAACTTTTTATAATATTATATTTAAAGAAATAGAATAAAGAAGTTCCTTATGAAATTATTATTTACATTTTTAAGATTTATTTATGGTTTCACTCCCTTTATTTTCAAGTATATATATAATTTTTTAATGTTATAACTTTTCTTTGTGAAACTTAATTATTATTGGTATATTCATTATAAGTAACATTCTTCTAACATATATATACTATTTATATGGTAAGTATATAATTATTACTTTTTTTTAGTGAAACTTACGTTATTTTTGAGGGATTTATTATTATTTATATTCTTTTTATGTTTATTTATTATTATCTCGCTATTATTATATTATTAGTATACTTAAAATTCGTTTTAAATAATACTTCTTTTGTGAAACTTTTTGTATTAATGAAAAATTTGTTATTATATACATTTTTCTAATATTTATTCGTCATTACTTGACTTATTTATATTATTATTGACAACTTTTGTTACCTTATTATTATTATTTTTTTGTTATATATATTACATAATAACTTTTTGGTTACTATTTATTATCATTATTGTTATTCGTTATTATTTTTATAAATTTCTTTATATTTTTAGATTTTTCAACAAGTTCCTCGCAGCACGTTAAACGCTGATGAGTCTGTTGCTAAGGGATGCGCGTGGCAGGCAACTTTTTATTCTCCTTTATACCGAGCACGTGATTTCAAGCCGCATGACATTTTGTTATTCGCTATTGAGCTTTTTTGGAAGTCGAAAGGTTTTGTTTTATTATTAACGAGAATTTACAAATAATTATTTGAGGAACATACTAGTAATAATGATATGGCTCAAAGTTGTTAGTTGTTTGGAAATTTCTTAAACATCAATGAATTTAGTGATATTGAAAAAAAAGTTTACATTTAAACGTGAATTACAATTTTATATATTATACTTATTAAATATTTAAAATAAATATTAAAAATCATTGGCCAATGGAATTTATCATAATGCGTTATTGAACTTTTTAGACAAAGAAGGCAATCCTATTGACTCGCGTGCTATTGTGGTTGAGGCCAATCAGACTGTCCCTATCACCAAAATTTTGACTTTTAAGAAATCCGAAGATTTTGAGATTAAGGTTTTTTAGTGATTTGCATTTTTTATCGTTATTTCATTGACTTGACTAGTTTTTATTAATTACATTTTATTGAATTTTTGTGGATTTGGTTTTTTATTGAAATTTGTCTCTTGTAGATATATTAAGTTTACAACTGAATTTTTATGAATTTTTTTTTGATTGGCTATCTTTACTAACTGCTTTTACGATAGGCGTGCTATGCGGACCCCTCAAAAGTTATTTCCTCTGAAAACCAAATCAACACGTGGCTTATTTCGAACGTGAAACCGAATGCAAACGGCGAGGATTCGACTGTGAAAGTAAAGATGCACGTGGGCTTAGGTATGTCAATGTTAAGCCTTTTCGTTGAATATAATGAAGTACTCGTTAGTAGGACGAGTTTCTGTATTTTTGTTTCTATATTAAATGTTTTATTAAAAATAATGTAAGCTTTGGGCTGTTATTTTATAATTGCACGTGTAATCAACAACTTTTTATGTACCAGATTTTTAAAACATTTATTTTTATAGTAATTTTTTTATTATTATGAACATTTTTTAATTAAGCTTGGTAATGAATATATTGTACTTTTAATTTTTAATTACCACTTTATGCATATTTTGGTCCAAAAACTTACTTTCTATGATTTTTATTTCACTTCTATTTTTTTAAAATTACTATATTCTGTGCTAAAGATGGTGTCTTTGAGATTACTGAGGCATACAGCGTTGAAGAGGTTGAAGTGTCTGAACCACCTCAGCCTGAAGGTTCTATGATTTTATTATTTTTATGAATAGCTTTATATGATTAAAAGCAATTATAATAGTGAATTTATATAAATAAGTTATTACCTGTAATTTGTTGAGAACGTCATCCATATTTTTAAAATCTTTTATTCGTTGGACCTTGGATATTTTTAGCTTTTTTTTTGACCATGAATTTAATAATTATTTTAATTCAATTTTTGTTGTTCTCATTATTATATGTGATTTTTTTGTTAAATATTAATTATTATTACTAACATTGAACGGATGATAGAATAATAACTTCTAAGTTTTTTTATTTTATTTATAAATAAACTGATGATAAAATAATAACTTCTAAGTTTTTTTTATTATTTATAAATATTTTTGCTATTAAATTTATGTTATTATTGTTGTTGTAATTTAGTAATTTTTATATTCCGTTCATAATATCTATTCATCTTATATATTAATATTTTCTTTAACAGTTTATCATTATTAACGCTTTTTATAATTAATCGCTGATAATTAATTTTTTGTACACTTTTCATTATTAGAAATGAGGATATTTTATTATTATTTATTGCGTTTATTAAGTGCATATATAATTTTTTTTTAGCTTAGTAAAAATTTGTTGTTAAAGTCTTTCATTGATTTCACTAAATTATCATTATATTTATTGAAGCATCTGTTGAAAACGAGCCAAATTCCGCAACGTCAACACCCAAACTACCCAAAAAAGTCGTTCGTAACAGTCTTTGTATCTCTCCGTTACACGTGCTGCTTCCCGACGGTTTTTCTGATTGGTGCATATATTAAGTTGAGGAGTTTATTACTTAATTTGGGCCATTTTTCAGAAAAATTGGCAGAATATATTAATCTTGAGGCCAAAATGCGTGCCTTCGACACCAGTGAAAAGGAGCGCGTATTTGTTAAGAATTCAGTTGAGGAGGTTTCATTATATTTATACTTTTGATTTCATTAATTATATGTCCATATTGGTTAGCTTTGTTACGATCTTCGCGGGAAAATAGAGGGCGCTTATCGCTCTTTTGTGGACCCCAACAGTGTTAATATTTTTTTTTATGATTTTATTTATTATAAGTGTATAAATTTTATTTTGTATAGAAAATTTATTATATAAAAAAACATTTGAACATTTATTATTTTATATTTTTATGAAACTTTATTAATTGTCTTATTATTTTTATTATTTTTTATGGTTTACTCGATATTTTTATATTTTTATTAATATATCGTAAGTTGAATATATAATTTTCTTTTATTATACCATTATTGTTATATATACATATTTTTTTTAAATAAAAGTAAGTTAAAGGTAACTATATTATCATTATAGTAATTTAAATATGTTAATATTATAATGAATATATTATAGACGTTTTTACTTAATGTTTCATAGTATCTTTGTTTAGTAATAATTGTTATTTTTTAATAATATATTGAAAGATTAATATGTATTCCTTATTTTTATTATATTATTTTTCAAATACTAGGTTAATATGAATTTTATCTTCATTATAATAATTGCAATATAATATTATAATAAAATTATATTTTATGAATAGTTTGTATTATAAATAATACATTATATTTTTTGCTATTTATTATTATATAAGGTTATCTTTTATTATATTTTTAAATTTTCTAATAACAATATATCTAAAGTAATAAGTAATTTGCTTTTTTTATTTTATTATAATTTTCATTACATAATTAGAAAAATGTAACATAATAATAATGAAATATATTAATATCATAATGAAGACATTCTTACTGTTAATCATTAAGTTTATGTTGTATATTATTTCCTATGTATTTCTCTTCTACTGACTATATTTATAAAAATATTTGTAGTATGTTTATAATATTACTAATAGTTATACTTGTTATGAAAATAATAGAAAGTAAACAAATTTTATTATATTTTTTATTTTATTTTATTTTATTTTATTTGGTTAATTTTTTTTACTTTCGTTTTTTTTTTGGTCGATTTAGCGTTATTTTATATTTTTCTGAAGCTATCGTCTAACTTTTTTATTTTCTTTAATATTTAACACTTAAGGGAAATTTAATATTATTCATACTAATATTATGTTTATTTTAGTAATAAAATATATTTATTTTATTTAATAATTGTTGTAATAATGATGATACCAAACTTTACGGCACGCGCACACGAATTTTTTATTCACGTGCTTAACTTTTTTTACTGTTTCCTAATAATAACACTTTTGATCTAACTTGCTACCAGCTTGAAGGTATTGTTAACAAATTAAGTGAAACTGTTGATTGGCTATACGATACGGGCGCTGATTGCGAGAAAAAAATTTATGACGAAAAGCTTAATGAAATTAAGGTAGGTTAATTCTTTTTAATGAAGAATTGCCGTGTAATAATTTTTGGTTTTATTAATACTTGATAGGCGATTGTCGACCCAATCACGAGGCGTTATATTGAGGCCGAGCAGCGATTGGAGCTGGAAGCCAACATGAGAGCTCTTATGCTCGAGGCTAAAGATTTGATTCGTTTGTATTCGGAAGGTCGTCAATTTAATAATTTTAATTTTTTTATTAAATTATTTTATTGAAAAGGCAACGAGAAATACGATCATTTAACGGAAGAGGAGGTTCAAAAGGTTTTTATTATTATTATTTATTATTATTATTACTATTATTGTTGCTTTTATATAGCTTTCTTCATGTGTTAACGAACATGAAAACTGGTTAGAAGAAAATGTTTCTAAGCAAGCTTCTCTTCCCTTACATGTGGCCCCCGGTAGCTTATTATTATTCTTGCTTCTATATATATACTTTACTACAAAATATTTATAAATAATAATAATTATAATGGTAATGATAATAAAATAATTCTTATAAGTTTTTTCTCCGGACTCGATTGCTTCTCATTTAAATTCTTTGCGGCTCGTTGTTGATCCGCTTATGAATAAACCAAAGCCCCAAAAGCCAGTGCCCGGTTTTTTTTAATACACATAATAATGATAATAATTAATATTTTTCACTATGATTCAATTTTTTATAATCATTGATGATATTTTATTTATTATTATTAATATGATTCTACTTCTAATAATAATTAATTATAATAATATTTTTATTTATTATAATTATGACCCTACTAAACAGTAAATAATGATTTTTTTTACTAGTAAATAATATTTATCACTATGAATTCGTTTCGTATCCATTTTATATCCCTATTTTTAAAAATTTATTGATTGTAATAGTAGTGTTTATTATTATTTTTTATACATATAACTTAATTACTAATAACTATTATTTAAATTTTAACAAATTTATATTATTACTATTATTATTTATTCATATTATTTGATTTTTAATTAATAATAAATTTTAATATTAATATGTTCATTATTATTTTTTTTATATGCTTTTTAACTAATAAATATTAAAGCGTTTAAGATGTTCTACTATAGGCTATACTATAATAATACTTTTAACAAGTTTTTAAAAAAATTAAAAAACTTATTTTTTTCACTTATAGACAAAATAGATAATAAAGCTGTAAGAATTTTATTATTATACAAATTATAATTATAATAAAATTATAAAAAGTTTTGTTGGATAATTTTTAATAGTAATTAATGTTTATTAAAAATATTTTTATGAATTAAGAGTTTACAATTAAAAGTTTTAAGATAATACTTATTATAATTTATATTAGAAGATAAAAAAATTCTTTATTTTTATTATAAAAATAGAGAATTTTTTTTTTGTTTATTCATTATAAATAATGAATAATTTAATTAATTTTTTTATGTATATTTTTTTATAATATAGTGCAGTATAAATAATAATTTCAAGTAGTTAATATTATAATCGAAATAATTGTTTTTGTTATAACAATTTTTTTTATTTTCATTATATTTATAGTTATAAAAGTTATTTATATTCATTATTATTGCTATCATTTCTTTGCTGTGTTTAAATTATAATATTATTTTCTTATGCATTAACGTTTGTTATATAACTCATATATTAATAATGATTGTTTAACATTTTTTCGTTAGAAACTTTTTTTTATTTTTTGTAAAAATTAAAATATTTTTATTTTCCTTAAAAAAGTACAAGTTTTTTTTATCTTTTTAAATTTTTTTTTGTCGTTAAAAATAATTATAGTTACAATAAATATATTGTATTATTTTATAATTTTTTTATTTGCTTAACTTTGTTCATAATAACTTGTATTGTTTATTTTTTTAAATACTTTTTTATTTTTTATGAATTTAAAAATTTATTTCAACTTCATTTGTTAATATATTTTTTTCTGAATTTTTTAATCTTGTATTAGTATTTTATTTTTTTTACGAAAAAAATTTTTAGGACGAAAAAATGTATATACTTTTTTAATTTTTAATATTTGTGTTAACGTTTATTATAGTTATAATTCTTATATATTATTTAATATTTTTATATTGTTTAACATATTTTTAATAATATTTGTATTCATTATTTTTTTGGATACCTTTTATTTTTTTTTATTTTTAAAAAATATTTTAAATTTATTTTTTATTATTATTACAAATTTACCATTTAAGTGTACTTTAGAAATATGTATTTATAGAATGAGTCGTTTTTCTTACTGAATTATTAAATTTTTTTTTAATTGTATATAATTATGAGTGTAGTTTTCTTGAGTGTAGTTTTCTTGAAAATTTAAACAACTTAAAAAAATGTAATTAAAATTTATTTTAAAAATTATAATAAATTTTATTATTTTTATGAAATGGGAGTTTCGGTAAAGCCTTTTTTTATTATTTACTTTTTTTCTCGAAAATTTTATAGTTTATTTATTTTGTAAATTTGAAGTATTTCCTTTTTGTAATAACTTTTTTCCTTTATGTTAGAAGTTGTTTAAATTAACAACTTCATTTTTTTTTGTTTATTTTTATTTTTTTAAGAATCTCAAAATGAACCAGAAGGTTTGGGATCGAATTCAACTGACTGGAGCAAAATGGATACTGATAAAGAAAATAAGCAATCTTCTAATCAGGATCCGGAAAATATGGATGTCGATTCCAAATAATTCAATAAAATTACCATTTTAATTTGAAAACTTTTTTTTAAATTTTTATATTCGTTGTAAGTAGTATTTTATTATAATTTTATCCTTTTTTATAAAGTTTAGAAAAATGGCTTATTTTATTTTTTGCTTTTTGATAAAAAAATAAATTAATATTAATTTTATAAAAAAAGTATAATTATAAGCATAACAAAACATACAATTATAGTAATGATATAATTTTATTTGTAATATGAAAATATTTTATTAAAAAAATATATAATTACTCTAAGTAATATCACTAAATTTATATAAATAATGAAATTTCTTTTATGAAAATATTATTTTATACTAATAATAAATATAAACTATAATTATGTTAACAATATAAAATTTTATGAAATCGGTTTTAAAATTTTTGTTTCTATATTTTTTTTCCGAACAGATCTTTAATAATACATTTCTTTTTAAAAAAAAATTATTCTCGTTTGCTATTATTTTTACTAAATATAAGTTAATTTAACTATTTTTATTATTTTCCATAGTAATTTAAACGATTTATAAAAGTTAGTCGTACTTCTCTATCCAGCTTTTTATTAATTACTTTATTTTTTTGCTTGCTTTCTTGCGTTAAATGTTTTATTATGCTCTTAAAAATTGTAGCTTTCGATTGTCTCCGCGCAATTTCTTTTGCAGATTAACTTTACTTTAACTGATATCCGGTAAATAAAAAAAAATATATAATAAATACTTTTTAAAAAAAATTTTTTAAAAATTGTTAATCTTAATTAGTTTTAGTATTATGGGTTTTTATAATAGAATTTTTATTGAACTTTGAAAGGTTTTTGGTAATTCTTTTGTTTAGATGAGCAAAATTAGGAAATCTTGTATTTTTGAAATTCTCAATAACTACTTTAACTTTCAACTTATGGCTTTAAATAGTTTTTCGTAAAGAAGCTACGAGCATCAGAAATACTTATATTGAGCTTCGGCTTCATTGGAGCAGCGAAAGAAACAGGAGGAGCTATATTTTTTTTATAAACGTAAATAATTTTTGGTAAACAGAGTATGCCTTTTCTACTATAAGTTTAGGTCTAAGTTTTTTGAACTCTAAAACTCTTAAGAAAGCCTTTAGTAAATTATAACTAATAAATACCAAATAAAATTTAATACTAGTTAAAAAATTACATATTACATTAATTAAGTTATTGCAAGGCAAAAAAAAAACCAGATGATAGTAATGGTAATAAAATTAAAATTAACTATTATTTTTTATTAAAAAAGTAAAAACTTTGTTCAACCAAATTTTAGTAAAATTTTGTTTGGTTAAGGTCAACCATATATGTCAGATGGTTGTAATAACTATAGTTTTTGGAGATTATAAGTAAATTTCTTTTACCACCAAACGTTATTTGCAGTTCTTGAATTACGTATTATTATATACTGTGGATCAGTGTAAATAAACTAAGAAATACTTATGTTAATATTTACAATTCTGTTTTAATTTTTGTGGCATCGGTAAATCTTAATTTCCTGCTCCGCATAATAAGTTTAGAAAAGTTTTAAAGTGGTTAATCAATAACCATTATATATAAAATAACTTTACTACAGAAAAATAGTTACTATTTTTTTCAACTCTCTTCTCAGCTCAGATATTGGCATCGTAACACCCTAGTGCGAACGTTTTTTTTCTCTAATTAATTTAGTTAGAATTATAAAGTTGTGGTAGTTAAAAGGTTCCCGTTTTTTCTACAGTAATGTTCAATACAACCCTTTTTTATAATATGGTTTTCCTTTTCATCTTTAAGGAAGAAGTAGAGATATTTTTGTTTGGCCCTCATCACCTCCACTTTATGTGTATTACTTACTTTGTTTTAATTTTGTATAAATTTACTGCTCTAAGGTTTTTTTATGTTGACTTTTGGTTTTATAATTCTATATTTATTAATTTTTAATAATGTAAAATTTTAAACGGGTGAAGTGCTACCGTTTTACTCCATATCTATAATATTAACATGACTTAATGTTAGTGCACAACGCTAAATTTTTTTTACACCTTTTTTTCTGCAGTAGTAAAAAAGGAGAAATGAAAAACGCCTATATTTTAAAAAAGAAGTATTGTAAACAGTTAAGACAACAAATTAATACCGCTTAATTTTTTTAAAAATAAATCCATATACTCTTTTTATTCGGGCTTCTGTCATAAATCGCTTTTTTAAAATGTATTTAGAAAGATTTTAAAATTTTTAAAAAAAAGCAAACTTAATTTTGTAACTATATTTTTTTGTTATCCACTAAAATAAAAGCGTTAACTAGAATTTAAAAATATAGCACTAAAATTTGGTAATTCTAATTTTTAAAGCTTGAGAAGTAATAAGTAAATAGTAAAACTTTTTTATTTTACCGCTTTAACTAGTAAAAACTAGTAAAAGTTCCCCCCCCCCCGCAAAGTAATTTTTACATATTCCACAAACTTACCGTTAAAAGTGATAAAATTAAGAAGTAATAAAAAAGTAAGGAACAATACAAAGTGAAATGTGTAAACGACTACTATATTCCAAAGAACGTAAAGTAAAGTAAAATATAAAATTATTACCCACCAACTTGCGAAACTTAAAAAATGAACCAGGGGGGAAACCTTATAAAACCAACGAGACAAGATACACCCACCACCTCTATTTAAGGCTCTAAAACTCCGCAGGACACTTTTCTTGCGGAGAAAAAAAGCACTAAGGCGACGACAAATACCTCCCGGGATCTATTGGATAGAGTCCCCCCTCCCTTTTCCTCTTGTGACCGATTTAATGAACTTGTTATGAGGCCTCCCCCCGTAGGGGGAAGCCAGCAGAAAAATTAAAAGCTTTAAACGGGCACATCGCCCCCCCACACGGAAATCCTTAGTAAAAGGCGAAAGATTTATTCGCAATATGAGGGGGCCACCCATATCCCCAGCGGTGCTATCACTCTACTATTTATATCTTTTTCTTCGTAATTATAAAACATTAAATATATGGGACACCACGTGTTTATAGGGTCCATGGTTCAGCTCATTTAATGGTTAGTTTTGAGTTATTTATCCCACGTGTCTCAGCTTAACTCAATAGTTTGGGCTCTCGAATTTTGGCGTCCATTTTATTACTTGACGGCCGTTTAAACGTTAGTAAACTTAAAGCTTTCGTTTTTCTTTTTTAAAGTTTTTTTGAAGATGAATTTAAATTGTTAGAGGGCTACATAGAAAGCACAACCATAGTTGGTCAATGTCAGGGAATTTCCCCCAGTTTTTGACAAAAGTATATAATAGAATGAAGAAAAGAAATAAATAGGTGACTTTAATTCAGGTTTGTATCGCTTTTGTAGTCTAATATAGCTTCAAGTCACTTATTACTTTACAACAAAGCTGTTATCGAGAAATTGTGTTTCGAAATGAGTGGCTTTGTAATAAGTCTGGCATATTTAGTCATTTTAATGTAGCAATAAGCTATGTCAATATATTTTACCCTTTTATTCAAAGCACCTTTTTATATTTTACTACTTTGTTGTCAGTGTAACAATTCACTTTTAAGTCGCATTTTAAAAAAATTCTAAGAGTAATTTTTTTTTTTAATCTTATGTATTTAATATAGCCCGCCTAAAACAATATACTTGGCCTCATATATTTTTTATTTTCGCCTTATTTAAATCAGAAACCATTCCATTGGAGTTCCATTAACTAAAATGATATATCCTACGGGGTTTTCTACGGTGGGAGTCAGTACCCAAATTTTGTAAAAAGTGTTTATAAAATGGAAGTATGAGTATGAGTTAATGAAATATTTACCTATTAATGAGTACAATTAAATTAAATAAGAAAAGAAATTAAAGTAAGGAATGTTTTATCAAACGGTTTTCGGTCTGTATTTATACCTTTTCAAAAAAGTTCTAAAATGCTTCCATATATGTATAATGAATTTAATTGAGCCAGATTAGTTATAAAAAATTTTACTGTTTATTTTGTATTGATCTATTTAATTGCTTTATTTACGTATCACTTTTTTAGTGAAATTTTAGGGGTTAAGTTTTGTGTTTTGTGTTTGTATTTTAGGTTTTGTGCTTTGATGGTCAATGTATTTTATACTTATGTTATACTATTGGTTTTTGTTCTATGTTTTCTTTTAGTTTTGCGTTTCGGCATACTATGTTTTAAGTTGGGTCTTAGGTATTTTGGTATACTGTGTTGTGTTGGTTAGCCCAAGAGAAATCACAACAGCACTCAAATAAGTACTGTTATCAGAATAGTTATCACACTTCATATAAAGCGAATAGTTTCTTGTTTAAATAAGTAATTAAAAATATAAATGCCAATTGCAATGGAGGATTAGACCCAGAATAGATGCCGCCTATGAAATATCAAGCATAGCGCTATCGCAATTAGACTAGGGGTTAGGGTTGGCTATGGTAGGTGTTTTAAGGGTTTAGATGTTTTACAAGATGAAAAAGTCATTACGGGCGCACTCTCTTGGCTTGTTACTCAGCCTCTGCATATAATATTTTTAATGGGTCAAGTCTCATTATTACTAAATATTCTTTTTATAGCTAGAAGAAGTTTATAAATCTATTTATATACGATAAAAATTCCTACCATTTTTACAATTATAATAGAAAAGTAATAAAAACATAACATTTACCCAGTAAAGCTGTTATTAAATATAACTATAAAGCTAAACTTCTATAAATATCTTATTTATATATATAAAATTATATTTTTATTGGAATCGTTTATAAATTTTTTTAGTGTAAGTTAAAGTTACGTAAATTATATGAACTTCGGTTACTAGATATTAAAAAACTAGTTATTGTAACTTGTGAATTTTTCTTCTCTAGGTTCGAAAGGAACTTTAGTTTCTTATTAGTTTAGGTGTATTACGCTATACGAAACAGTTGTATATTGTGAGCGGCACTACCACCTACAGTTTTATTTGAACCCTTTTAGGTCTAGCTTAGGTCTTTTTTATTTAACTTTTTTAATTAAATTTAAGGAAACAATAACATTTTGTTTTACTGAGTACTTTAGAAGTAAAATAATTTGATGTTATAAAAAAACTTATTTTTTCCTAGTTATAAATATAAAAAAAATACTAAATTTTAACTGGTAATGAAAAATTAAAAGGTTATGTCAGTTTTTTTTTTGCTTTTGCTACACCAGCAAAATATAGAATTTATAAGAAAAACTATTTCGATATAATATATCCTATAAAAACAGATAAATATAAGAGCGTCGCCAACACTCAATAGAGTATGGAAGGGAAATAAAGGCATAAGGTAAAGAGTACAAAATAAATAGGACACTTGAAGAGCTAAGAAAAAATAAATTCAAGGCATGTAATGTTATTAATAATATAATTTATATTACTAAATGAAATACCAACAGAAATCTAAGCTTCCTTGCAAGATTATATATTAATGTATATATAAAATATGTCTGATTACTTAGGATAAATAAAGTTAAAGGTAAATATAACATTTATTTTAAGTAAAAAAGATACAAGAATGGGCCCTAAAACGCAGGCGTCCAAAGGTTCGAATTCACCATCACAGATCAACTTAAAACCCAACCCAGACCAATAATAAACAAAGCCTTCAACCATTAGGAAAATAAAAATTAAAAACAATTTATGGGTCTCCTACGAAAAAATACTGTTTAGTATTATTAACAAGCTTCTTTAAAAGGCCAAAATCAACTAAAAAATTTAAAATTTTTCTAGTGGGAATCTATAGGTGGGCCGCCTACGACGGGTATCAAACACTGAAATTAAAGATTTTTCCTTAAGTGTTAGTTAAACTCTCACTCCTCTTGCGTAGTGTCTGACTATAGCGCCTAAAAAGGTAGTGAAAAATAACAAAAATTATATATCAACAGTTTTATTGCGTTGCTCGCCAGACATACAAACGAACAAGCACTAAAATCAACCAACACACAGAAGTCCAACCTTCGCGTAAGCCTCAGCAACAAGGATCGTCGCGTTCTATGTATAGTAGTAGTAAGTAACACCAAATAGCTCCTCTACAGACGACACCTTTTAAAGCGTCGATAGAATGTATAGAAACAAACACATGCAACCATAGATTTAGCTTAAATTTTCTGCAGTTTCGTGTATCTTAAATGCACCAGTGAATATGCAACTGATTTTCATTATTTTAATCACTCATTCTACAGATCTTTCCGCCATGTTTTTGTTCGCAACTAATCACTCGGACAGCGGTAGTTTTCTGTAGAACTTAGCTATTTCACTAAGCTTTTTAATAGTGTAAGATCGGGATCTGGCAGCTCTTTGCAGGCAAATCACGAAGGGCCGCTTCTAAAGGCAATGCAAGAAGAAAACGGTTCTTGCGGGCCCTTTAGCAAAAGCTGTTTATCCCTCAAATTGAGGCAGATGCTAAGGTTAACTAAGAACATTTGGGAACATTTGAGAACATTCCACTAAGATACTAAAGTAAAAAAGTCAAAGTATTTGTATTTCTTCTCTATTCTGCTGTGTAGTCTAACTAAATTGAAAATAGGACCCATTTTAGAAGCTATTCCTAAAAACCTATAATTATCAACTCAATGACTTCTGTCCACAGAACCTTCTGTGCCTTGTCTTGAAGTTTCATCTTGTTGATCCGCGGGAATCAGTGGCGCGTTTCCTCATAGCATCATAGGGAGAATTCATCCCTTCCTGGTTACTGCTAGATTGAGGTAAATCACTACGCATAATTTTCAGAAAAAATAAAGTATTTCTGCAGACTTTTGGTCTTTACCTCTTCTTAAAAAAGCCTGCATTTTACATTTCTGTTAAGCTGTAATTCGATCTTACAAGCTCAAAATATGCGTGGGTGGCATTATCATCAAGAGGCAAATCCAATTCATTGATAAACGTTGTTCTGGCATCAATAAAGAATTCATTAGAATCAAAAAACGTTTTTGCAATCCAATAATTTAGAATTAGACATCTATCTATTAGCTCAATACTCCTGCTAGCATCTTTTAAATTGATTTTAAACCGGCAAGGATAAAAACTGTAGCTAAAATAGTTGGCAGTAGCTTGAAATATATTTTCCTTTAAGCTTAAAAAGACAATGCATCAAATTCATCATTTCTTTAAAATCCCACCTAACTTTAACAGTTCCTTTTATGTCTCACCTCAAGCATCTTGACTACTTTACACAACTCTTCTCTTCCTTCATATATAGTGGCTTTTTTTTAATGTTCTACTGAATTAAACTTATTACCTTTGTAATTTTTATTTTCCAGAACAGTATGAGATAAAAAGATTATAAATTTTAATCGTTAAATCTGGTCTTTTTACCTTATGTACCCGCTTATTTATTAATTTATAAATGACATTTCTTGGTGCTCGATCGAGTCGAACACTTCTAAGACTGGAGCCCTCAACCAGGAGTGATCGCAGACTTATTATAAAATAGCTTTCAATCATTAATAGGGCGTTATTATTTTTCTTGACATTAACAATCAAAAACCAGCACTTACGAGAGTCCCCGCCGGCGGCGATAAGCGTGCGGCTAGCTTGTAATAAAGGGCAGTGGCATTCCGTTGGAAGACGACGTCTAGAAGGTTCAGCTCAAAACCTCGGAAAAAAGCTTCATATGCACAAACCACTGCGCACGTGCAGAAATTTGTTCTGTCGCACTCCAAGTGCCGACGCTATTGCAGTGGAGTCGTAGGTCTAAGCAGAAGACGTGTATGTCATTATTGGCTGAGGTAAGAGTTTCGCAGAAAAAGTTTGCTCTTGCCGCACAGTAAAAGATGGAGCGCCTTAATTGTTGCATTGACCTTCGCCACTACATAGTCCAGTGTGGCTGCTGGGAAAATTTGTTGTCGATGCTCCCGAGTATTTCGCCTGAGAGCACCACGGAATCTTCATGCCATCAAAGGTTAAGGAGATAGGGAAGCGTATCTTTGTAATTA